CGGCCGGCGCTCTGCACCTTACTGTCCCATGACTTCTTCAGGTGAGGGGCCTGCGTCCGCGCGTCTGCTCTCTGTGAACCAGGGGAGGTTGGGTTGTGTCCACTGCGGAATAGGGAGGTCGGGTCACCTCTCCGGGTCCTGTTGTCAAAAGGCCGGGCCAGGCATTTTAGCTGAATCCTTAGAGCAGTGGTTCTCAACCTTCTGGCCCTTTAAATACAGTTCCTCATGTTGTGACCCAACCATAAAATTATTTTCGTTGCTACTTCATAACTGTAATGTTGCTACTATTATGAATCGTCATGTAAATATCTGATATGCAGGATGGTCTTAGGCCACCCCTGTGAAAGGGTCGCTCGACCGCCGAAGGGGTCGCGACCCACAGGTTGAGAACCGCTGCCTTAGAGCATCTGGTGGGGAAGAAGCAAGGCTTTGGCCTGGGCTCAGTTGTAATTGAGAAAGTTAATGAGCGTGGCCGCACCTCCTGCCGCCACTGTGTGGTCAGGGTGCGTTTGCTGTTGAAATTTTCTTGTTGGGGCTGGAGAGGAGCCTGCTTTTGTTCAGGCAGAGATTGTGTCTGTGTTTAGTAAGACGGGCTGGGGCCGTGGTGGGCTGAGGGACGGGCACAGGGAACACTGTCGCAGGCTCAGACGTTTCCGAGCCTCATGGTTGGTTTGAGTTCTGTGTCCTTCATTTCTTTATTTCCATGAACTGCTCAGGTTAATTTCCACGTTCATGACTGTTGTCAGCAAAGCCAACCCTGTGTCAGTTTCGAAACTAAAACTCCTCGTTTGCAGTCGGACCCGAGAGAAAAGGAGGCGAAGGGAAGCTGATGCTCCCCCAGGGAGCACTTCCCTGCAGGACAGGGTGGGAGCTGCTGTTACTCAGCCAGAGGCCAGTTTCCTTGTAGTTACTGGGTTTTGTCATTTGTTTCCAAGAAACTGTCCAAATCTTTCCCGTAGAGGAGTGTTAGCCAAGGTATCGCCCCGTCCTGCGGGTGATTCACAGTCATATTGTACTTACCCTGATGCAAGGCCACCCTTCACAGGACATGGTTCCCCGTCACTGTGCGTGTAACGTTCTTAGAACTCGCAATAGAACGGGCAGCGGCAAGGGAGAAATTCACCTGCTCCTCCCAGAGCCGGGGCGGCGTCTCCCTCGTAGGCGTTAGACTCCAGTTAGGACACCTGGGCTTCTCTGCTGCTGAGCCCTGGGAAGCGGGTGAGGGTGAGCTGTGGGGCCCACGGCCGAGGCCCCTGAGAAACTGACCACGCCTCGCCCTCTTCCCTGCCTGGCTGGAAGAGTGACTTAGTACGTCTACAGCAGCAGGAGTAATAGGATCCTTGACGTGCAGAGAAAGCCCCTCCCCACCCCTTGTTCACAGTTTTCGCTTCAGCACAGGCTTGAGAACCATTTTGTAATGAGAACCGTTTCTCCCCAGTAGCTCCTTTGACCACATCCCATGGGGGCATGGGTACGGTGTGTCCTCCCACAGGTCTCTCTGATTCTCAATGTCAGGTTTCCTTGTTCCGTAGCATTTGTCTCAGGAGCTGCTTAGTTGTGACGGAGCCTTTTAAGTGGCACAGGAGCGTGCTCCTTGCTGAGTTTCTCAGTGTCTGGTTGTGCTTGTGTGTGACATGCCTTCTCTGATCTGTTGTCCCACATTTTTTCCTTCTCGGCATGTAGGAATGATTTTCTCGAAGTTGTGAATTTCTTGAAAAGTTTAACAATGAAGAGTGAAGAGGAAAAAACTGAATTCTTTAAGTAAGTTCAGAAAGTTAACACTTAAAATTCAGTAACTCGGGCTAAGTCCGTGAAATCGGTGGGTCACCCATTTGGTCTGTTACCGAAGGTTATTGGTGTTGCTCTGAGTTAGGCTTCCTGCTGGGCCCTGCACGCCCAGATGTGGTGAGGGAACCGCTGCTTCAGCCTGACCCGAGGCAGTGAGGGCAGTAAACGTGAGGCTCCGTGTACAGAGGCACTGCGATAAAGACCTAAAAGGTAAAATTGCAAGCTCTAGTGACCGTCACCAAGTGAACTGGGATCAGGGCTGAGGACCGCATGTGTGGGAAATGCTGCCGGGATGGGCAGCGTGTCCGTGGGATCTAGAGATGTGCCTGGGCTCCTGCCGGTGGGTCTGAGCGCAGGAGAGAAGGTTTACGGTGAAGAGCTGGAGATGACTGTCCGAGTTCATCAGCCTGAAGTTGGTGACACTCTCCCAGAGAAGGTGGGAGCAGGAACAAGACAGTGGGTCCAAATTATAGCCCCGAGACCCAACCTCGTAAGGGGCTGGAAGGGAAGGAGTGGCTGAAGAGTGAGAAGAGGGACTGGTGGTGGCAGGAAACTCAGCCGGAAGGAAGGCTGGGCTTCCCGGGAGAGGGGCCTGTCGGGAAGGTGGGTCCGCAGGAGAGCACTGGCACCCGTCTCCGGAGCCGCTTCCCCGTGTGAGCCGGGCAGTGACCTCGGAAGTGAAGGCAGGGGGAGGAGGCAGACGTTGGGAAAAACCTCCTACGTAGTTGAGAGCAGGGAGCACAGAGAACCGCTGAGGAAGGGAATGGAGTTGAGGTGGATGTTTCTAAGGCGGGAAGAGGAGGGGAGGGGCAGGGCAGTTAGAGCTGCAGGCATGCGGGGGCAGGAAGGGGAGGGAACTTGGGGCGGTGGCTGGTGGGTGGCCTTCAATAAGAGGAGACCCTCACCCTTTGGTCCCTGGGAAGGCGGGAGGGATGAGCAGGGATGTGGATAGTGGCCTATTTCCTAGTAAACGGGGAGGCAGGATCCGAGGAGGCTGATGGAATAGTGGGGTCATATTAACGTTAATATCCTTCCTAACTAAGGGCTTTTACACGTGCTGTTTGAATCTAGTAAGTTTAGTAACAAAAGCCTGTGCTTTGCTTCCTGTGGGAAGTTTGGATACTCTAACGTCCTCCATCTTGTACATCAGGGAAGCACCTTTTATTAACTCGAAAGCCCTGGCTAAGCGGGGGACGCTTCTGCTGTTGAGGAGGGCAGTGCTGGAACATTCCCTCGCTCGGCGTGGAGGTCTGAGTGCTGACGATCTGGCCTTGCCTCTCGCCTCATTCTTCTTCCTGCCTGAGACGGGCCTGGCTCACTCGGGGACACATCAGCCCGATGGCGTGGGGACCGGCGCACAGGCGGAAGCGTGCACGGCCGGCCCAGAGTGGCCCCAGTTCCCAGGCTCCTCTGCCCGCCCGCAGGTTTCTGCTGGACAGACTCAGCTGCTTGTCGGAGGAGCTGATCGCCTCCCGGCTGGTGCCTCTGCTGCTGAATCAACTGGTGTTTGCGGAGCCAGTGGCTGTGAAGAGTTTCCTCCCTCATCTGCTTGGCCCAAAAAAAGGTGCATTTTTTTCCAAACTGTTATTGGTCATTGAGGAATGTGGGGATTATTAGTCCGTATTTGAGCAGCGAGATTATCACACGGTGTCGCTAATGTTGCATCTAGGCATGGGGAGCAGTATTGGTCCCTGATCACTGACTCAGACCTGGGTCCCAGAGCCCACAGCATAGACATGGCGTCTCCTGGAAAGTCAGACCCTTGGTCAGCAGGATATCGCACACGTGTGCACACACATGCACACAGGACTAGCATATGAAAAGCACGTCTTCAGGGACTTGTGCATTTGCAGTGACTTCCCCAGAGCAAAGATGGAAAAGCAGAGATCATTTTACTTCTTGGGGCTGCAGGTTTTTTTCGGAAATGAGCCTATTGCTCTGAAACTTTGTAACTGTGTCAGCACTGTAGGTGGCAACATATCAGAGAGTATAGCTTTAATGTGACTAGAATTATGAGTTGGGGAGAATCCTGCTTTTAGAATTTATTTTCTTAGTCTCAATCCAAGCAAACAGTGTTGCAGGTACTTAAGTAGAGTTTCCTTATATTCTCCTTTGATGTCATTCCCTTAGCCATGAACTGTTCGCTAGAGCGCTTCAATCCCATTACTCAGATCTTAGGTGGGGGTGCTCTTCTGAGTCACCTGGGGAGCTTTTTAAGATTTTGTCTGTGCAGGGTCCCCTGGTTCAGGGGTATTACACATATTTTAAAGGTTCCCACTTCCACAACCACAACAGCTCTCCAGCACCAAGTCTGGTGTAGGGGGCATCCAGGAGGCAGCTGATCAATGATTCTCTCTCATCAATGATGTTTCTCTCTCTCCCTCTCCTTTTCCTCTCTAAAATCAATAAAAATATTTTTTAAAGAAGAAAAAAAAATGACAGTATGTTTAAAACACTTCTGTCAGATGGAGTGTATTTATAATTCAGCCTTGAGAGGAAATTCGGGTCCACAAAGCTGCCCTTTGGTTTGGGGCCTGAGGATTTAGCGAGTCCTGAGTGTGTCCGGTTCTCGGCTGAGTTTGTGAGTCATGCTGAGCGCCCTTCACTGAAATGGCAGTTTGTGTTTCATCCGTCCCACCTCTGCTCTGGGGTAGACCATGGGCCCGAAGAGACCCCTCGCCTGCTGTCCCCGGCCCTGTTCCGCTCGCGGGTGGTCCCCGTGCTGCTGCAGCTGTTCGAGGTGCACGAGGAGCACGTGCGCACGGTGCTGCTGTCTCACCTGGAGGCCTACGTGGAGCACTTCACTCCGGAGCAGCTGAGGACAGTCATCCTGCCGCAGGTCAGAGGCCGTCGGCGCCCGGGGATCCTGGAGCTGGGAGGCTGGGGCGTGGGCACCGCGGGTGCTGGTCAGCGAGGCTGAAGAAGGGGCTGTGGCTTTCAGAGGAGAGCACAGGAGGCCCTGAGGCAGCAGTTAGGTTGAAATTAAAGCTACATGGTGATCCCATTCGCAAAGGCCAGTCGGTTAAACTAATGGGTTAGGTCTGAAGCTGAGAAAAACGATAATTGTTTCCTAATTCTTCAGGAAAGAAGAGCCAGCATCCTTGGTGCAGTGCTTTGTGAACACAGACTGTTATAACGAGTATAAAACAATGATAACTGAGGGGGACGGATGTTGAGATTCAGGACTTTTCAGCCTCTTCCTCAGCCACCATGGAGCCTCGTTAGGATCTGCCCACTTGAAGGCTCAGGGCTTGTGGGTTTCCTGAGTGATGAACAAGTGACTGAAAATGGTGTGGCTTCTAACAGGAGACTCCTCTCGGCTCTGGAGGCAGAAGTGCAAACAGGTGTGGGCAGACCCGAGCTTGGAGGCTCCAGGTTCCAGTCCTTCTTCACTTCTCCCAGCTGCTGTGGCTCCTCGGCCTTTCTTGGTGTTGACTGTGTCACTCCAACCTCTGCTTCCGTTGTCTCGTGGCCTTTTTATAAGGACACCAGGCATTAGGTGTCGGGCCCACTCTACCCAGTATGACTTCATGTTGAGGTCACATTCTGGGTGGACATGAATTTTGGGGTGACACCATTCAACTCTGTCTGCAGTTTTGTTGGTTTCCTTTGCTGTGCAAAACCTTTTATGTATTTTTTCTTTTGCTGCCTGTGCCCAAGGGGACATACCCCAAAAAATATTACCGAGAGCCAAGTCAGCGTTCACTGCCTGTTTTCTTCTAGGGGTTCTGTGGTTTCAGGTCTTAACATTTAAGCCATTAATCCATTTTGAGTTTATTCTTGTGTGGAGTAAGGAGGTGATCTAGTTTCATTTTTTTGTATGTACCTGCCCAGTTTTCCCAGTACCATTTATTGAGAGACTGTCCTTACCTCACTGAATATTCTTGCCTCATTTGTCATAGATTAATTGACCATGTACGCATGGGTTTATTTCTGGGCTGTTTTGTTCCATTGATCTATAGGCCTGTTCTTATGCCAGTGCCAGGCTGTGTTGATTACTATGGGCTTGTAGTATAATTTGATATCCAAGAGTGTGATACCTCCAACTTCCTTTCTCATAGGGTCCTTTGTGAATCCATATAAATTCTAGGATTATTTATGTAAGTTCTGTGAAAAGTGCCATTAGTATTTTGATAGGGTTGCATTGAATCTGTGGATTACTTTGTTCAGTGTGGAAATTTTAATCTTAATTTTCCTTACCCAAGAGCAGTTGTGGTTGTGGACCTTTGGGAGGTTTTATGCTAATTACAGAGGGAAAGGGAGATGGGGGAGCTTAAAGAGGGTAAGGAGGATAAATGGTGATGGAAGGAGACTTGACTTGGTGAACACACAATACAGTGTACAGATGCTGTGCACCTGAGACCTGTATAATCTTATTGACGTCACCCCAGTAAATTCAATAAACATAAAAAACGTCCACAGCACAGGCCAAGGCCAGTGGCTTATGAGAAACAGCCGCGGGAGGAGGTTTGGGTCCGTGCAGAAGTTGGGTGGCTGGAGTCTCGTGGAATCAGCAGGGTGAGCCTGAGCCAGGTTGATGGCGACTCAGGCGTGGTGCCTGTGCCGCAGGCTGAGTTGGGGGAGGGCTCAATGCAGGATCAGTGGCACCTGCCAGGACCCCTCTCTTGGAGAAAGCTGCCTCTCCAGCCCTTGCCCTGAAGTCAGTTGTTTCCCGGGTATTCCTAGCCCTTTTTGAGCTGCTGTTCCCCTGCTATAACATAGGGTAAGCTGTTGTGAGGGGGGCTGAGCTCTGGTGCCAGCTGAACCCGCCTTTCAGGTGTGTGGTTGGTGGAGCTGTTTGGGTGGTGTTTGTGCTGGAGCCTCTTGACCATGTGGGCCAAGGTCAGCCTCCACATGTGCCTGGCTTGGGGCCACCTGGTGGGAGCTACAAACTGATCTGCAAGTGGTTGATGCTTGTGCCCTGAGAGACTGTGCTGCAAACAGGCCACTGCCACTAGTGCCAGGCCTGGGACCCTTTGGTGAGCACCATGATCGGAGCTGAGGGCAGACGACCACTTGTTCTGGGCTCGTGGCCACTTGGTTGAAGCTGTGTTCCAAGTCAGCACCGGTTGCAGCTGATGCCAGGCTTGGGGCGTCCGATGTGAGCTACCGTGCAAGCTGAGGCCAGTCGCAGCCTGTGTCTAAGGCTTCGGGTAGCGTAGCAGCTGGTACAGGGCATGCTGAGGCCAGCCCGCTTGTTCGGGTTGTGGACCTGGAGATTTTAGGAAAGTCTGCAGTGTGAACTGACACGGGTCACGTGTGTGGAGGAGCTGCTGGAAGAGGTTCCCCGGGGCCGACTTGGGTGGAGTTTCAGGCCTCACCAGGGAGGTGAAAGGTGTTAGCCAGGCTAATGAGACTCAGATTTGCCACATCCATAATTATAGGACTTCTGTTCAGCTAGTTGTCAGGTGGTCCTCAAGGGTGGTGGTTCTGTAATTTAACTGTAACTTTGATGTGGTTATGGGAGGAGGCGAGCACAGCATTTTCCTGCCCACACGTGGCCATTACACCTTACGTCGTTTTTAAATCCACTCTGCGCTGGATTGGGCGGGGGAAATGTTGGTCCTTAACCACAGATAGTATGACAACTACTGCCCCAGCACACGTGTCTAAGAAATGAAATTCATCTGAGCAAACACAGCCTGATTGCAGGCAATGTGGTTGTCTACACTCACTACCCTGTCTGCTCCTAGGTGTTACTGGGCCTGCGTGATACCAGCAGCTCCATTGTGGCCATCACGCTTCACAGCCTGGCTGTGCTGGTCTCCCTACTTGGACCAGAGGTGGTTGTGGGAGGACAGAGAACCAAGGTCTTCAAGCGCACTGCCCCAAGTTTTACAAAAACTACTGACCTTTCCCCAGAAGGTAAGAATGATTTAAAAGCCCTCTTTATTGTGTGAAGTATTGTTAGATTTTTAACATTGTACAAATGATGCAGGTGGTTGTATGCAGTCATGACATAGAGAAGTGTAGTGAACAGCTGGTAATTTCCTTCCCAGCTCCTGGGGACAGGAAACCAATTTTAATAGCTGAGTGGGAAGCCTCTCATCCCTTTCTCAAAAGCCACAAAAAGACAAATGTATATTTACACACACAGCTTTTTATTTTTTAAAATATACTAGTATTTTATTGATTTTTTTTTTTTTTTTTAGAGAGGAAAGGAGAGGGATAGAGAATTAGAAACATCGATGAGAGAGAAACGTCAATCAGCTGCCTCCTGCACGCCCCCTACTAGGGATCAAGCCTGCAACTAAGATACATGCTCTTGACCAGAATCAAACCTGGGACCTTTCAGTCCACAAGCCGATGCTCTATCCACTGAGCCAAACTGGTCAGGGCTACACACAGTTTTTTTTTAATACATTTTTATTTCAGAGAGGATAGAAACATCAATGACAAGAAACAATCACTGATTGGCTGCCTCCTGCATGCCCCCTACTGGGATTGAGCCTGCAACCTGGCCATGTGCTTTTGACCGAAAGTGAGCCCAGGACTCAAGTCCACAGGCCAATGCTCTACCCACTGAGTCAAACCAGCTAGGGCTTCACACAGTTTTTTTAAACGATGAGAAAACACTGTCCTCAGTCCACAAACCGATGCTCTATCCACTGAGCCAAACTGGTCAGGGCTACACACAGTTTTTTTTTTAATACATTTTTATTTCAGAGAGGATAGAAACATCAATGACAAGAAACAATCACTGATTGGCTGCCTCCTGCATGCCCCCTACTGGGATTGAGCCTGCAACCTGGCCATGTGCTTTTGACCGAAAGTGAGCCCAGGACTCAAGTCCACAGGCCAATGCTCTACCCACTGAGTCAAACCAGCTAGGGCTTCACACAGTTTTTTTAAACGATGAGAAAACACTGTCCACAATTGTACAGCTTGTTTTTTGTTGTTGTTTTGTGTGGGGGTTTTCATGTAGCAGTTTATGAGGAACCAGCCTCCAGGTCAGCATAAACTCGAGCTCGTCTTTGTGAAAGCTGCTTTATATTCCATTGAGTGTAATTCACTCAGTGATTTCCCTGTTGATGGCTCTTACACCCATTTCTGGCTTTTTAACCCCTACCCACATATTGCACTAGATAGCCTTAGAAATAGTTTTATTGCTATAGGATCATGTCCGGGAGTAGACTTACTGAGTCACAGGAATATGTGTTATTTAAAATTTTAGTCTATTGTCAGTTTCCACAAGTTCTTTTGACTTTGTTGGCCCATTAGGTGAAAAGCTGTTGGTGTTTAGGTACTTCCAGAAGCCTATTTCCGTATGTTCCCACTGGACGTTACCTGGGAGGTGGCAGTCATTTCTGGTCTTTAGAGGCTGTACAGGGTTGCTTCCTGCTCCTTTATGTGACCCTGCGTAGGAAGGACCGTGACATCGTGAAACTGGCTAATCCAGTCCTCCCTGATAGTTGGTAGATGCAGGAAAAGTTATTAGAAAAGAGCCCTCAGATAGACTAGGCTCTAATTTGATGCCAAGATAATTTTAAAGCAATTCCTGCTTCCCAAACCTTTGAGAGCTCAGACGAGACTGGGTCGGGGGGCTCTGAGAGGACATAGAACTGCTGCCACCTCTACAGCTGTGACATGCACTCAGCAGACCGGGTGAGGTCTGCGCCGTCAAACAGCAAGTGAGAGGTTGGCACAGGAAGTAGCCAAAATTATGTTTGAATCCTTTTGAGCAATGCCAACTCCTGAGTATGAACTTTCTGGTTTTACAGGCTGTAGCTTTTCTAACTAGGTGTCATCCTAAGGGTTCTGTCTCTCTAGTCCAACTCCACCAGGTGGACACTCAGCCTGTCCTCACACACCCCTAGGACAGGCAAGCCACTCCAATACTAGGGGTACATTTCTCCCTGCACTTTATCTTTTATCTGTGTTAAATATACCCGTTTCCCTTAACTGTTGCTCACCTAACATGTGTGCTAGAGCAAGACAGTTTACCGTCCCTCTCACTTTTTGGAGTTCTGTTTATCTTCAGATTCTCCCACGCATGTGGCCTGCAGCCAGCACAGGCAGACCATCCCCGGCTTGGAGAGCCCCTCCAGGGTTTTCCCTAAAGGGTTCTTTCCTGACGACAGGCCCATCGGCAGCAAGAAGCACAAACAGCAAGATTCCTACACCACCCTTCCCCAGACAGGTAGAAACAGTGAGTTTATACAGCTTTCCCATTGCTCGGGTGAACGTTTTCTTGAGTAATAAGTTTAAATTCTGAAAATTAAGGGCACTTTGGGAACATTTGAGACTGATTACAAGAGAAGTCAGCTCGGTGCCAACCTGCCTCTCTAGGCCACAGGGTGACAAACTACCTTTGCTTACGGCTGGCAGAGGGGCAGGTCAACACTGCTTGAATCTGTTACTGCAGACACCTTCTTTACTTTGGACTTTTGAGCCTCAGTATAGCATTTTCCAAATTGTATCAGAGCAATAGCTCTGGAGATGACAGGTATGCGCGGGAAAGGTGTGGCGGTTCAGGAAGCCCGGGGACAGGCTGTAGTCACTGCACGGCTTCTCCATGCCGAGCACAAAGGCAACTGTTCAAGGGAAGGTAGGTTGACTGAGGCAGACTTACTTGGCCACACACAGTTTCAGGGTGCATATAACTGACACTGCAAGGGTAACATCGGCTGTCTTCACACTAACATGTTTGTTTATAGACTACTGTGCCCACGGCATTTATGTTTATTTAGTAAAAGAAACTGTTGCTTTTGTGGTTTAGTGTGCAAGGATATTTCTAAAAACTTACACTGTACATTTCCCTAAGTATATTCTTGATTTTAACCAACATTAAGGAGAATAATTCTTGCACATGTCCCACAGGTGACCGATTTTCTCAGCCCAGGACATTTCCCATGAATGGACTTTCAGACGCGAAAGATACCTCAGGAGACAATGAAAACTTCCTGCCAAGTCCCCAAGTGTCGGAGGAGTGGCCGGACTGGAGCGAGCCGGGGGAGCCTGAAGGGAGAACTGTCAGCACACAGGTGTGGCCTCCAGAGCCTGCCAGGTCCCCGCCCACGGACGTGAAGGTGGTGCAGACAGGGGACGACCTGAAGCACAGCAGCCTCCGCGATGCAGTGAGCCCGGGAGGTAGAAGCGCTGGTGCCTCGGGGGAGCACAAGGCCATTCCCACTTCTCTTCCGCTCACAGAGGCGGCCACGCCTTTGGCATCAAGCCAACCCCCAAAGACCAGTCCTAGCCCAGCCCAACCCCCAAAAGTATCATCACGAGAACGGCGCCCTAAGGGTCCATCAGAACTTGGTTTAGGAGAGGAGTTCACCATCCAAGTGAAGAAGAAGCTGGTGCAGGACCCCGAGTTGGACTGGTTTGCTGACATGATCCCCGAAATTAAGCCTTCGGGTGCTGTTCTCGTCCTACCCGACCTGAGGACAGAGACCGTGATCCCCAACACGGACGGTATCTCACCAGGGATGCAGTTTTCCTCAAAATTTGCTGCAGCAGAAATGACTGAGGTAAGGATTCCCTTGTGGGTACCAGCGGCCTTGTCCCCTCCTAACAGACACCTGTGCCCCGTCAAAGCGGCAAGTAAAGTCACTTCCTGTTACCATCTTTCCTTCCCCAGAAAAACGCAGCAGTGTGGCTAAGTGTTCAGTGGCACTAGGAAATAGTCACCTTTTTACTTGGAAAAGGGAGAAGAGTAAGGTGTCAGCAGGTGGACTTCATTGGATTAGATGGTGCTTAGAAAGCGCTTTTACTTATTTGCACAAGGAACTATAAACTGCTGACCTTTCGAATGTGGAGACGCTGTCCCAGCAGCTGCCCTTGGCTTTATGTCGTTGCAGGCGGAGTCTGAAGGCTGGGGAGATGCCGGGGAGCTGAACTGGGGAGACAGCAGCTGGTGACAATGGCTGTGAGTTAACCTCTAGGAAAAAGGATTCCTTTTTAAAAAAAATCAAACTAATACCTCAAAAGCAGGCTCTGCAGACAAGAAAACCCCAAAGCATCCTGTTTTTCTCACACCAGGAGCTTTTCCAGTCTGTGCCAAGGAAGCCAGAGACCCTGGGTGTGGCCCTCGGCTGGGGAAAGAGCCTGTGCCTCCAAGGCCGGGTCGTTCTGGAAGTAAAGGAAATAAATGCAGGACCTTCCAACTGATTAGCTTAATTTTGTGCCATTTCTTTCCCGGTGAGAAGAGTGAGCTCTATTATGAAATGCAGCACCTGGAAAACATTTTACTATGAAGGACGTAAATGACTTTAAATCGCTAAGGTTTCCTTCGGCAGCTTATTTATTTGTTTACAGTTATTCCCACATATATTATGTGGACCAAAGTTCATGAGAAATATTCCCCATAATCCTGTTCTCTAAACATCCAATAAAGACTATTTTCACTAGATGCAACTTTACAAAAGTTGTTTTATGTGTTAGAAAATGGATAGACATAATTTACATAAATATTTTCACTTACAAACTACATTGTAGAATGATAGTCATACCCAGTTCTGTCTAGCGATGGTCTGGTCCGGTCCATTCAAGTTTCATCCTGGAGCCCGCGGCGTCTCAGCTCGTCAATCTTTTCCTGGAGCAGCTGCATCTCTGTGGGGAGCCAGTCGGGAGCAGGGCACTTCTGGAGCAGTGATTCGATTGCCTCCAGGGCCCCCGCTGCGGCCTGCAGTGCTGACCTGTACTCTTCCTCCTCAGGGGGCTCGTGGCGGGCTCTTTTAGCACAAGGCTGGCAAACGAGAAAGACGTGGTGGGAATGTCCTACCTGTTCTAGAAACTGCCAAGAACTCTGTTGCGGACTAGAGCAAAGCTTATTAGAACAAGTTCTAAAACTAGTCATGGGTTCACAAGAGCAGCACCTCCATCCCCTGGAAAGACACGCGCAGGTGTTTTTGTCACCGTGACGCAGGAGCGGACGCCTCCCCTCCAGCACTTCAGTGAGCAGCTCTAGACACACCCAACATGTCCTACCACAAAGCCCATTCGGATTTATGCTTCCTTCCATGTTTAATGCCAAGTTTATAACTACCGCTCAGGAAAGGGGGGTTGAGGGCCCCCTTATGCTACTGATAGGATATTTAACTTTACAGACTTCAGGCATGAGAGTCTTGAAAACAGGTTATTAAAACTTACAAGAACATTGTTGTTCTTGTGGATTGCAATTCCTAATATACTGTCAGTACTCAAAAAACAACATAAAAAAATTTTAAATATCCCTAATGGATATTTACTAATAGGCAGATGTGATTTTGAGGCACTGCCAAAAATTATTAGGCTGATTTAAAGAATGAGGCAGGGTATCTGGTAGATAAACATTCTGGAAGGTAAGTTCTCTGGTTTTCCTCTCTGGGTCACAAACTGGGAAAGAGGCAGCTACAGGTAACAGGTGTGTCAACAGTGTATTTGGTATGATGTTCAAAACTTACTCTGTAGTCCTGTTTTTAGGTGTTCATAACTTTTTAGGGGGGGGAAATGATTTTTTAGAGAGCATCGAGCATAAAACAGAATTTTACATGTCTAGATCTACTTTTCATATGCAACATGAGAACGAGAACCATACTAGTTTGTTTACTCATTAAGTACTAAGAGCAGACTTTCTCTTAAAAACAAACTGGACCCATATTGTAATGCAACAGTCCATACCTGTGAAGATGACCACTTCGCTTCTTCTAACATAACTGTTGCCAAGGACCCCCAGAACATCCCTTTTTCCTGTTTCACACGCTCCACTCTAGCAGCTACCGTCTCGTCTGCAAATCCCGTCTGCAGAGATCATGAGAGACCAGGTAAACAGCCTGTGTGATAAAACTGCTCCCGGTGTTAGGCAACCCGTGGTTTAACTATTATTCTCTGAGGCTTCACCTAACATGGTCCCCATGAAAGTGACAAAGGATGCACAGATGTGGGAGCCATAGGATTAAGTCAAACTAAAAAGTCTGTGTCCTGGTCTGTCAGTGCAGAGAAACCGTGCCTCAGTTACATCCGAACCACAGTGGTGCACATTAGCATCTAATCACGGTCACTAACAGTCGGGGTCCTCACTGCTACAGGCAGTGACTCCACGTGTCTGACTTCTGTGATGTGTCACCACTGTGCAAAAGGTGAAGCTAGAGAGAGAACCTGTTTAAAAAGTCACCCAATAAAGAACAGTGACACCATTGTTTTGATTCTGTGTAAAATAAAATAAATACCTTCTCCAGAAAGGATACCACTTTGTTCTTAGTTTCTTCAGAACTGAGGCACTGGGGGACTATCTCTTCATTTCTTGTTCCCTATTAAAAATTGATAAGAAATTTTAATATATTTCAGTAAGTTGAAAAGACACATACATGAGTTTTAAGGGCCACCTTACTCAAGCATTTTAACCCACTGTATGCCATAAGCGTCGGCAGATGCAAGCGGCAGACCTTCCCCACACGCCACAGGCATCTATTAAAAATGTTTGTCCTAAGTGGCAGCCCTGGCCAACTTTAAAATCATTTTTCGTGAGAATTTTCAGCTGAAAATATTCAAGAACATCCGAATTGTAATATATTTATTTTTATAATAGTCATTGCAAATTGGTTTTTTATTAAATTCAAAATATTGTGGCGTGTGGGGATGGTTTCTGTTTTGGATGCATGGTTAACTGGTTAAGAGAAAACATTGCAGGGGATACTCAGGAGATGATTAGCTCGTAGTTCTTTCAGGTGCCTTAGAGCAGTACCCCATTCTGCAATGTATACAGTGGGAAGGAGCCGTCCACGCCAGATCACCTTCTCCACAGAACCAAGTTAATAGGTCTGTGTTCATCAACCTGACCCCAGGATTGTTTGAGGTGATATGTATTATCGACCAACGCAAAAACTGCATCGAGGAGACTGCCCGGATTAGCAGACCTGGTTAGAATGCCTGTTGGGTTACTACCCACAGGCCCTTACAAATCTCCCTTCTTGATGCCTCATCTTTAGAAATATCTCCTGCAGCAGAACGTTTTACAACTAAGATGCGGAAGCAGCTCATCACTGTTTCTGGGTGTCTGAAATGTTGAAATGCTTTGCAGGTCACGGCCATAGGCGGGTCTTACCTCTGCAAACTGAGTAAATGCCTCCAAGGCATGTTGTTCTAACAGCCAGTTCCTGTCGGCCAGCAGCAGAGCAAAAATGGAACACAGGTTGGGCACAATTTTGTCCTAAAGAGAGAACCAAGCAGAGTAAATGCAATATGCCTGATGTTGTATTAAAACACATGCTGGTCATGTCACTCCTTTGCTCAAGTTTTCCATTTTGCTCGTATAAATCAGGGTCCTGACCTTGGCCTGCAAGCCCGCCGCCTCTGTTCATGACATTGACGCATCCTCAGTGTACCAGACAGACTCCCAGGTCAGAGCCTCTCTACCTGCCTTTCCCCTGCTCCCTCGGCTTGTCTTAGTGTCACCACTGACTGTACCACCCCACTCAGAGCTGTGCCCCATGTCCACATGCTCTTCTCCCCCACCCCCACCCCAGCACTCACACCATCCCATACACTGCTCATGTCACCACTTCTCTGGTCTGCAGTCTCTCAGTGGGGGATTCGTTGGGTTCATTATTGAATCCCCAGTGATTAAAACAGTGCCTGATCCACATATACAAACTCAGTAATTTTTTTTCTTAAATGAATATATGAATCAATCTTATCTAATGGTTTTAAATGCCTCTCGTTTGCTGATGAATCCCCAAAATTTCTTCAGGCCTTAACTTCACTCCTGGAAATAGATATATTTCTAGAAACATACAAGGTAATTTCTGCTAATAAAAACACCTGTTCTGCCCTGGCCGGTTTGGCTCAGTGGATAGAGCGTCGGCCTGCGGACTGAAGGGTCCCAGGTTCGATTCCAGTCAGGGGCATGTACCTTGGTTGCAGGCACATCCCCAGTGGGGGGTGTGCAGGAGGCAGCTGATCAATGTTTCTAACTCATCGATGTTTCTAACTCTCTATCTCTCTCCCTTCCTCTCTGTGAAAAATCAATAAAATATATTTAAAAAAAGCAAACCTGTTCTATAGGTCCTGGGCACATTGTGGTCCACATGCAGACGCATTCTTGGAAAACACTCTAATTCTAGAAATATTTGGCTACTTTTGCCCACAGAGTTAAAAACAAACTGACAACAGCTATACTTATCTCTTGAAACACAACCTGATGTGATGGAAACAAATGGGGCAGCACCATTTACCTGGGAACAAAGGAGACAGTCCCTTAGAAACTAACCAGGTAAATTTTTTGGTTGCAAAGGTTTTAATCAACCTGTAATGTCAATTATGGTTTTGCTCCATTTACATAAAAGGTCCTCATCAGTGAGCTCCTCTCCCCTGTGGAGGAGGGAAAACTCAGTTGTCTGGAACTGCTGGGTGGTGACGGCAGCAGCAAGGAAGATGAGACTGAGGAGGACGATCTTCAATAGAAGTGCACTGCCAGGCCCTCACAGGATGATGCCATAAACACACACCCAGTTTTCAACTACATATACTTCGCAACGTATTCAAAACAAACAGGCTCCCTTTCATGGGTATAAAACCAAAAGAATAACTTCAGTAAGTTACCAAACTTCCTCATTATACACTATGTTTTCTTTACTCAGAAACTTTGTGGGCACAAAGAAAAGCTCAGACTACGTTTACGTACGTGTGTGTGTGTGTGTCAATGTATATTTTTCTGAAAAATAAAATGAGTTCTACTTTGATAGTCACTCTCTATTCATAAAACACATTTCCCCCCCAACTTTCATTGTCATCAATACAGAGAATTGAAGAAATCAAAAGCCTAAAAATCCCTTGGTCATTCATTCTTGCAGCGTTTTTGTAATAACGAGAACAGAATAAAGAGTTTTACCTGGATAGCTGGAGATATGAAAAGTTTTCCTAGAGAAGACACAAAATCAAGGATTGCCAAGCGAACATGGTCTGGAGGCTCTAATTTCAGAAGTGAGGCCTGCAGAGTTACTACCTAAGAGGCAAAGACCAGAGAACAGTTATTTTGCAGAAACCTATGATTTTGATGGGCGTTTGAGAGGGGAAACAAAGCAAAACCCACAACAGCCAAACACTCCACAAACCCTAAACTTCTGAATAAAACAGTCAGTTACTCCAGCATTCTTCCTACCAACCACTGTGTTAAAAAAAAAAGTCCTGAAAAAGTATATACCAGTGTTCTTCCTTCAAACCTTTAAAAATTATTTTGTATTTTAAACTCTAGTAAGAGAAGTTCTTTATTATTAGCAGGGGATGGTCAGTATTTTTAGGCTTTGCAGCAACTTGTGTTCCCTGCTGCATACTTTATTGTATTTTATAAACCTTCAAGAAAGTAAAAGTCATCCTTAGCTCTTGTGCTGAAAGCAGGGCAGAATCTAGCCAGGAGATTTGCCAACGCCTG